TCCTTGTCTTATATTAAAATTAGTTTGATGATGTGAAGAAGTTGCATGACAAAAACGCAGCACAAAAATCACTGCTACAGAACTGCAGTTTAATCTTTTATTATGTACAGATGCAATATAATTTCATTTTAGTTTCATTTACCAGCATTAAAATATTTGTAGCTTCATACAGTTCAGTGCAGTTTTATTTAAAAACAGTTTCAACACAATAAGTCACCTCAGTTTTACAAAATAAACATTACATTCACGCAGGTATCCGGACAAACAGACTCTGGCCCCGCCCACAACACATATGGCCCCACCCACAATATGGCCCCGCCCACAAGCATCTCACCTGAGCATCCCGATTACTGAAGTCTGCATCATTTCACAGACAACTTGCATTTTTTTAAACCAAAGCTGACAAACAGAACATCAGGACCAGCAGGTAAAAACATCTGGAGAATAAAATCGCAACGTTTTAGGACTAAAATTTAGGTTTTATTCTAATTATCTCTCCAACACCGAAGGCCTTTCTGAGAGCCAACTGTAGACTTTATTCCCATAATATTCTGATAAGATTTATAAACATTACACATTCAACGCTGACATTTTCATACTTCCAAGTTAAATAGCTTCATTTAATAAACGTCTTCCTGTCAGCTCCTTCAAAGTAAAACTTGTGATGTTTTGTAGTATTTTATTACAACACTGCGACTTAATCTCCAAATGTTTGATGTTTTTTCATCCTTTAATCCTAATCTCATCAAAATGAGAAACTTGTTTATCAGACGTAGTTCCTCTTTAATGATCTCTGTGATGTTTGTTCTGCTGATGTGATTCTAACAAACAGCTGTTGAGTCTTTAGTCCGATTTAAACGCCGTTTGTCGGCTGAAGTTCTGGTGAAAACGCTCGCTGGCTGCTGCTCTGTAGTCGAGCAGAGGTGTGAACGGTGGATTACTGCTCGACTTCCTGTTTCCCTGCTGGAACGTTAACGTACGCGGGGGTTTTGTGGTCCTTCGTCGTCGTCGGGAGACTCGCGGAGGAACTCTGGTCCCGGTTCTTCACACGGTGGAAGGCTTCATCAGCGCCTGTTCTCCAAACAGCTGCTTGAAGTGAACCACGTGTTCCTCACAGTGTTCTCCTGCAACAACACAAGGGTCGGTCGCTTTGGTTACTTGTTACAAACGGTCAGAAACTGTGAAGAACACCAACGATGGAGGCTCAAGGCACAGCGACTCAACTCTGTTATTCTGATTTATTTCAGAAAAGCTAAAAGTGGTTTTATTAACACTCTGAAGCCCGAAGATTTGATCAAAAATGGAACCAAAAACTGAAAGAACTGGGCAATTTTCAACTTTCCGAACCAAATTCTGAAACTGTGACGTCGTTTATAAACTGTCTGAGAGCAAACGTCCACAATAAAATAATCCAATAATTCTCCTCTGTTGAACTGCAGGCTGTGTTTCCACACAGCAGAGTGAATAGAGTTCAAACAGTTGAACATCTGCAGCGTGTTGGTAACGTCTGTGGACACGTTGATTTGAGGTTTTCTGAGTCATTTCCGACACATTTCGGGACATTTTGCTGAAGTTGTGGCTCATTGTGGTCACCTGTAGTCAATGTGGACCAGCATCTAGTTCTGATCAACCAATTTGGACTCATCTGGGACAACAGGTAAACAGTTAAATACCTGCAGTAGGCGGAGCCTCCGTTTGTTGTGGTATCATCGTCGTGGTGGACGTGCTGATTCTGGGATGTTCAGTTTGTGTAAATAATCAAAGAAATTTAACTTAAACCGTCTTTATTTCATAGTTCCTGTCAGTGACTCACCGTATCCATGGCAACGTCATACCAACACTCGCCTGAACAATCATTTCCAGTTTTACTTCCTGCTGTTCTGCTCTCGTCCTATTTGTGTTTTCACTGCATTTGCTCTCATGTTATATATCAGTGTTTGTTCCTGACAAATCTCTGGCGCCAGATGTTGTCTTCGGTTCTTTATCTTGTTTTTATTGCATTTAATCAGGCGGCAAAATGATCACTTGCAGAACACAAACAACTTCCTGCTAGAAGCTGGAACTACGGGACTTTTGGAGACCTCCTGACGCCACATCAACGTTTTTCTGGATTTACCTTCAAATTGGAGGAAAATCGAAGCTCCTGAATTACTCAAAGAAAATGAGTCGACCCAAAGTTTTTCTGAGCCGAGAAGTCAAACGCAGGAAAACAAGCTGCTGTTTGTTGGATTCAGAAATAAACCAGATTTTACATTTAAACTGTTCAGTGCAGCTCGAAGGGAAACGCTTTAGTTGTGTACGATAACAAAGCTGCGCTGAAGCTGTCCGTTTACGTGACTTCGGGTAAGTCGGGTTCTTCTCACCGGGGTTGAAGGCTGGACTTCCTCTGAGCCGCTGGTTCCGCTGCTGGAACGACCTGAACACTGTGTAGAACAACATCTGGTCTCCGGTCTGACGCGCCGCGTCCAGGAACTTACGGGCCGAGACATTGTCGTGGCCGCCTGGAAGACAGGAAGCAGCTCGGATCAGAACAAAGGTCTGGAACCTGCAGCACAGACGTCAGGGTTCTGTCCAGGACGGATCCAACAAGTGTCGTTAATAATTCACAGTGACGTCAGGATAAACTTTCACCCAACAAATACGACAGTTTACAAGTTTTACTGCGACGTTTAAAAAATGGTATTTTTTGATCAATCTGAAAAACACACATTAAAAAAACCAACAACAAATAGTTTTATTTTGGTACTTTCGGTTTCACGCTCAGGAAATGGAGAAAAAAAACAACATGGACTGAAAAATTAAAAAGTTACTTTTTGAGGCAGATTACACAGAAACTGGGAAAACAAATTAGCCGACATGCTAACGAGCTATTTCGTCGTTTAACTACGTTGGCGGTAAAACCACGTAGCTGTGATCACAACAGAAGCTACTTTAGCTCGTTTAGCGCATGCTAGCTGTGTAGCATTCAGACAACAAGAAGCATTTCATCAACCGGCTTCATTCCTCGCTGATTTATTTATGCACATATTCCATTAAAGTGGACGGTAAAGCTTCTCTTGTTATCTGTAACGATGTGCAGATCCTACGTTGAACACCAGGGGGCGCAAGTAAACATAAAGTGCTGAAGTGCAGACAAACAGAGCAGCGAGGAGACGAGGACGGAAGCTCATTAAAAACGTCAACAGTAAAACATCTTTAGCAGTCGTTCAATTTCTCCAGAATTATTAACGGATGTGGACACGTTAAGAAAACGTTTTCGGCAGAGCGTCGTGTCAAACAACCGGACGACATCAGAAACAAAATGACGTCAACGTACCGACGCTGCGGATGAATCTGAGCGCGCCCAGAACCTGCTGCTTGGACAGAAGAACCTCCACGATCTCGTCGTTGGCCGTCGACAGACGCTGAAACACACAAAGCGTCGCTTCAGGGATCAAACATCAAACAGCTTCTGTTTATTCAGTTTGTTCTACTTTTTGAAATATTCAAGCATCACATCTGATGAATGTTTCAGGTGTAACTTCATCGTCTGGCGTCACATTTCTTGTATAACTTCCAGCATTACTTTTCTGTTCTACTCATACGTTCATGACTGCGTTTTATTCGTGTTTGGTGCTTTTCTGTTCTTTCAGCGCTGCATTAATTCTTAACCCTGTAAAGTCTGAACCATCAAATAATCGCCAGAAAATTCTGTTTGTTTTTAAACTTTAGTGTTTATTGAACCTTTTTTGAGAAATTAAAAGAAATCAGGGATGCACGATATATCAGCGACCGCATCAGGATCGGCTGATATCAGTGTTGTTTACGATGTATCGGTATCGGTCCAACGAACAAGTTTAGCCGATGACTGTCTGATATCAGCTCCTTCGTCTCTACGTCTGATGTCGCTGCTATTTCACAGATGTTTTCACTTTACTTTTGCAATAAAGAGCTTGTGGTCTAGTTTGGGCTTCTTCTGAATCGTTTCTCACAGCGCTGACTGAGACTCATTTTTCGGTGTGAACAAAACTTGAACATCGACGTCGGTGATATCGGTAATCGCCGATATCAGAAATCTTAATATCGTGCATCACTGAAACAATTAATCAGTAATTTGTAGACTTGAGTTTTAATTTGCATCATTTTTGCTACGTCTTGCATTTTTGGAGCATGAATTCTGATCTGAGGTGGATCATCGGCGCCGCACGTGTCCGACTGAATGCATGAACAAATACACTGATGACGTCGAGGTCAAATACGACACCCGGCCTTACAGGTTACATCTGGCACGAGCATTTAGTTTGTCCGGTGACGTGCTAACAGTGGGGCCTTACCTTCAGCATGTCCAGAGAGAGCTGGTGTGCAGGAGGATACGTGCTCTCCAGAGACAGGAGCAAACAGGCCTGAGAGCCACAAACACAGAGAGACGTGAGCAAACGAGTC